TGGGGGTGGTTTCTCCCTTTCCCTCTCTCTGGTCTCTCTGGGAACGTATGTGCCCTATGGCAAAATCCTTAAAAAAAAATCCCCCAGTGTCTGGTATTTTTCTGTTAGCAACTGCAAAAACTGACTAAAACAGCACTTGACACATAATTAAAACTGTGAACTACTTTTTTTTTTTTTTTTTTTTTAAGGTTTTTCGCTATAGGGCACATGTGCTTGCCAGAGAGAAACAGGGAAAGTGAGAAATCACATCCTCTGAGGGAGGGGATGGCCACTGCAATCCTTCATTCCCCTCTTTAAAAACATTTTTTTAGGCTTTTGAACTAGGGTGTGTCCCCTGTGCCCTCGCCAGAGACAGAAAGTGAGAAATCACCCCTGGGGTGAGGGGTGGGGGATGGCCACACTGCAAACTCCTCCATTTTGGGCGCACGCGCCCATATGCCCAGCATGATTTTCAAGTTGCCAGGCCTGGGACTCAAACCATTGTTGATCATGTGGAAGTCCAGCACCTTTCAACCACTACGCCACCTGCTGGCCCCAAGACTGAACTACTTTTTGAAAAAGAAAGACAAAATTTCTGGAGGATCTTAGGAGGAAAGCAGACCAGGAAACTAGTGTTTTGGGGTTGACACCAATCACACGGAGCATACGAGGTTGTTTCTCACTGAATGTGAAATGGACTCAGACATGGGTATTTTGGGGGGGCCCAGCCAGTGGCATGGTGGTAAAGGCGGCTGGATCCCATGTGGCCGACTGCATGGTCTGACCCGGAACCAGTGATGCTGGGCATGTGTACATGTGTGCCCAACCACCCGAGAGAATGAGGAGTCTGAGATTGCAGTGAGGCCATCACTCCTGGGGTGACTTTTCAGTTCCTCTGTCTCTCTTCTCAGGGAGTACAGGTGCCCTATAGAGAAACTAAGGAAAAAAGAAAAAGAAAAAAAAGATTCACTTTTGGTTTTTACTGATAGCGTCTTTCGTTTTATTTCCCGATGTAATAAGAGCGAATTTCTGGTTGTGAGGGAAAGTTGACTCAATTTAGAGCTGTGTTATGATTAGCAGAGCCAAAGAAAGGAGCAGGGCAGAACACCTCCCACCACTCAGCACTGGGTGGAATGTGTGCGGCTTGGCAGTGGATGCCGCCTCGACTCAGGGCCAGGCTCTCAGCCTTCTGTGCGGATCTGTGTGAGAGACTCTTAAGTGCCCAGGAAAACCATCTCCGACTTGTTCAAATAGTCTAAGCCAGAAAACTAAAGCAAGGAAAGAATTCCATACGGTGGGTCAGTCCCATGGCCTAGAGGTTAGGGAAGCTGGATCCCACCTGGCCAACTGCAACATTCAGACCCCTGCCTGGGCTGGGCGTGTGCCCCAAATCCCAAAAGGACAGGGAGGTGCAGGGATTGTGGCACGACCACGTCCCACTGGTGACATGCTTTCCCCTCTGGCACGCGTATTCGCCCTCTGGCTTACAGACACAAAAGCCCCACACGTGTTAATCTGTTCCAACCAAATCCTTCACCTGAGGGAGAGCTTGTCAGAGTACAGGTTTGGGGACATGTTAGTGGGACTAGAGGTCTCAGGTCTTGGACAAGGCCGAGTCTCACACCTAGTCTCACCTTCATTCAAATAGTACCTGTGGTCACGAATCAATATTTCTGTTGGAATTGACCTCCAGACCTTGGCCTGGTCACTCAGATATTCAACCCCAATACTAAGCAGCAGTTCTCTGCTGGGTCCGGGCATCTCGCCATGGTGCACGCAATTTCCTTTCCTGCATCAAGATGCTCTATCAATACCCACCACACCACCTGGCTGGCCCTCTAAAAAAACATTTTTTGTTTGTTTTATAGAGGAATGTTAATATTTGCAAAGTGCTTAGAACAGGGCTGCTGTAGTTTGGGTATTCTCCCTACCCTAAATTTAGGTGTTAAGATTGATGGTATTGTAAGGGTGTCGAGTGAAAACTGAACTCGTTCATGGTGTTCCAGCGTTGGGGCCTTTGGGTGTGACAAGGTCATTAGAGCAGGGTCCTTGAGACTGGGTCCTGGTGGTGTTTATAAGCAGAGGAGTGAGACCAGACTCACGGTCACGGGTCATGTTCTGCCAGAAGTTCGCCTTCCTCCATTATGTGATGCCTTTGGTTTTCCAGCCACCAGAATCATGAGATTTGCAAACGAACCTCCATTTTCTTTAAAAATCATGCAGTGTTGTGGGGCCAGCAGGTGGCGTAGTAGTTAAGGCACTGGACTCCCACGTGGCCAACTGTAGTTTGAATCTTGGACCCAGTGGCTTGAAAATCACACTGGATGTGCGTGCGTCCTCAAAACTCCAAGAAGAGAATGAAGAAGGACTGGCCGCAGGGCCATCCCCCTTGGGGGTGGTTTCTCCCTTTCCCTCTCTCTGGTCTCTCTGGGAACGTATGTGCCCTATGGCAAAATCCTTAAAAAAAAATCCCCCAGTGTCTGGTATTTTTCTGTTAGCAACTGCAAAAACTGACTAAAACAGCACTTGACACATAATTAAAACTGTGAACTACTTTTTTTTTTTTTTTTTTTAAGGTTTTTCGCTATAGGGCACATGTGCTTGCCAGAGAGAAACAGGGAAAGTGAGAAATCACATCCTCTGAGGGAGGGGATGGCCACTGCAATCCTTCATTCCCCTCTTTAAAAACATTTTTTTAGGCTTTTGAACTAGGGTGTGTCCCCTGTGCCCTCGCCAGAGACAGAAAGTGAGAAATCACCCCTGGGGTGAGGGGTGGGGGATGGCCACACTGCAAACTCCTCCATTTTGGGCGCACGCGCCCATATGCCCAGCATGATTTTCAAGTTGCCAGGCCTGGGACTCAAACCATTGTTGATCATGTGGAAGTCCAGCACCTTTCAACCACTACGCCACCTGCTGGCCCCAAGACTGAACTACTTTTTGAAAAAGAAAGACAAAATTTCTGGAGGATCTTAGGAGGAAAGCAGACCAGGAAACTAGTGTTTTGGGGTTGACACCAATCACACGGAGCATACGAGGTTGTTTCTCACTGAATGTGAAATGGACTCAGACATGGGTATTTAGTTTTACTGAAGACACTCTTGTGGGGGCCAGCCAGTGGCATGGTGGTAAAGGCGGCTGGATCCCATGTGGCCGACTGCATGGTCTGACCCGGAACCAGTGATGCTGGGCATGTGTACATGTGTGCCCAACCACCCGAGAGAATGAGGAGTCTGAGATTGCAGTGAGGCCATCACTCCTGGGGTGACTTTTCAGTTCCTCTGTCTCTCTTCTCAGGGAGTACAGGTGCCCTATAGAGAAACTAAGGAAAAAAGAAAAAGAAAAAAAAGATTCACTTTTGGTTTTTACTGATAGCGTCTTTCGTTTTATTTCCCGATGTAATAAGAGCGAATTTCTGGTTGTGAGGGAAAGTTGACTCAATTTAGAGCTGTGTTATGATTAGCAGAGCCAAAGAAAGGAGCAGGGCAGAACACCTCCCACCACTCAGCACTGGGTGGAATGTGTGCGGCTTGGCAGTGGATGCCGCCTCGACTCAGGGCCAGGCTCTCAGCCTTCTGTGCGGATCTGTGTGAGAGACTCTTAAGTGCCCAGGAAAACCATCTCCGACTTGTTCAAATAGTCTAAGCCAGAAAACTAAAGCAAGGAAAGAATTCCATACGGTGGGTCAGTCCCATGGCCTAGAGGTTAGGGAAGCTGGATCCCACCTGGCCAACTGCAACATTCAGACCCCTGCCTGGGCTGGGCGTGTGCCCCAAATCCCAAAAGGACAGGGAGGTGCAGGGATTGTGGCACGACCACGTCCCACTGGTGACATGCTTTCCCCTCTGGCACGCGTATTCGCCCTCTGGCTTACAGACACAAAAGCCCCACACGTGTTAATCTGTTCCAACCAAATCCTTCACCTGAGGGAGAGCTTGTCAGAGTACAGGTTTGGGGACATGTTAGTGGGACTAGAGGTCTCAGGTCTTGGACAAGGCCGAGTCTCACACCTAGTCTCACCTTCATTCAAATAGTACCTGTGGTCACGAATCAATATTTCTGTTGGAATTGACCTCCAGACCTTGGCCTGGTCACTCAGATATTCAACCCCAATACTAAGCAGCAGTTCTCTGCTGGGTCCGGGCATCTCGCCATGGTGCACGCAATTTCCTTTCCTGCATCAAGATGCTCTATCAATACATCCAAAGCTCGTCCTCAGGAGACACCCAAACACTACTC